GTTTTTCGCACGCTAGGCAACCTCTGAAATTAGAGTTTCTCGCACAGCGTGCGAAAAAGTTTTTCACAGGAGCGCGAGTTTTTTAACAAATGAAAATTACATATTTGGTTGTTTTATTTTGCAGTTGTAGGAAAAGCATTGTAAAGAACTCGTTTGAAAACCTTTTTTCACATTTGCTCGACTTGTGGAACTCGCCTACGGCTCGGTCCAACAAACTGTCTCGCCGTGCGAAAAAAGTCGTTTTCAAAACTTGTTGTTTAAATAACTATTTCCTACAGCTGTGCGGAAAAATCGATTTTCCGCACTGATATGCGTGCGGAAAATAATTTTTCCCGCACGGTGCGGTAAAACTTTTTTTTTGACATATCAGCGCGGAAAAAGTTTTTCCGCACGGCTGTCAGTGCGGAAATAGCTATTTATACAATAAGTTACGAAATGAGCGTCTTTTAGGCACGCGACGTGAAAATTGTCCAACGAGGCAAAAGCCGAGTTGGACAAATACGTCGAGTGACTAAAAGACATCGTTTCGTAACGTATTGTATACAAGATTTTTTCTACTGGCGTTTCATAATAAAAAACACAATTTTATTTCATGTAAATAAGTCGATTACACCCAAAATCTTTGTTACCCTGCTTTTACTTGACACCTGACACTTTTCAATGCGATTTTCTTTTCAAAATTCGACATCAATAATTAAAATCCTAGAAAGTAGGTAATAACACAAAATTCTGTTTTGAGTAACCCAAACGTTCAATTCAGTAATTCCATTTTCAATATTCATAATAAATACAAAACAAAATTCAAATATGTGTTAGTGTGTTTTTTATTTCTGAATAATGAATGACACTTTTAGGCACTAGTGCTTAAAAATTACTTTTACGCACTCATAAGTCACTTTTACGCATTCAAAAGTCACTTTTACGCACTGAGTGCTTAAAAGTAACTTTCACGCACTCAGTGCCTAAAAGCATGTCGTTTCAAAACTGAAATGACAATCGAAAAGTTGCTATTATGAAACGTCAGTAGAAAAAAATTTTACCGCACTGATATGTCAAAAAAAAAAACAAAATTTTACATTTTTACGCCTGTAGGAAAAATATTGTACCTAACACTTGCGGAAAATATTTTTCCTACAGCCGTGCGGAAAAATCGATTTTCCGCACTTGTTAGGTAAATAGCTATTTCCGCACTTGTTAGGTAAATAGCTATTTCCTACAGCCGTGCGGAAAAATCGATTTTCCGCACTGATATGCGTGCGGAAAATGAGTTTTCCCGCACGGTGCGGTAAAACTTTTTTTTTTGACATATCAGTGCGGAAAAAGTTTTTCCGCACGGCTGTCAGTGCGGAATAGTTATTTACCTAACAAAAGCGGAAAGTGATACTTTACCGCACGCAACGGCAGTTGACCGAACGACGCGAAGCGGAGTTCGGTCAAGCCGTTAAGTGCGGTAAAGGCACTTTCCCCATGTGTTAGGTACAAAATTTTACCTATGAGCATCTACATCTCCAAAAAAGGCATTGTTAAAATTAATTAATGAATCAGATTAATTAATGAAATTAGATAAGATTTAGAAATGATCAAAAATCCATTTTCTGAAAGAGAGAGGATTTTTTATTATAAATATCAAATTCTACTTTACCGCACACTATGCGGTAAAGTGCACTTTACCGCACACTTTGTATTCTACTTTACCGCATACTATGCTGTAAAGTTATCTTTACCGCACACTATGCGGTAAAACGCACTTTACCGCATAGTGTGCGGTAAAGTGATACTTTCCATTTGCAAATACGTGCGGTAAAGTGCAATTTACCGCACGCTCATAGGTAAAAAATTTTACCGCACTGATATGTCAAAAAAAAAGAAAAATTTTACATTTTTTCGCCTTTAGGAAAAATATTGTACCTAACACTTGCGGAAAATATTTTTCCGCACTTGTTAGGTAAATAGCTATTTTTGAATTCCTTGACCTCAAATTATACATATAATAAAATGTATAATCATGCCCAAGTGAATTAATTTTGAAATAGACCTTTTCAAATTATTCTGTTACGCATGCGCAAAACATTGTTGCCAAGTGTCGGTTTCTATCACGCTATACAGGAAAGAATCATGAATAATTTCGGTTTCATTAGATCTGAGATTCAATTTCTTTATTAATAATCAACCTAATATTTGATGCAGCCGAGGACTCAAGCTATTTATTGAAAAGATATATTGATTGTCATTTTGTAAAGTTTTTTTTTAAACCTAACGCGCTTCAATTTGTACAAGCCGGCAACATCGCACAATTTCACTGTCATTTCTTCAATCAGCTGATTATTGTTTTGCGGACCATGTTACACGTTTTTGCATGGGGAAATATTGGAAAAACCTGTTTAAAAATTAGTAAAAACGATGGGCACACAAATATTGTATTTTTGGGAAGTGTAATAGTGACAGCAGAGTTGGAAGACCCGGATATTCCGAGAGATTAATTTCTTACGGCTTTCCCTGGCCACGTCTTCAACGTAAATTCCTTTTAAGTTCTAATACGCTATTTTTATCTACAATCTCATTACGTAAAATTGCACCCGGCACATATGCTGCTGATAATTTAACTTTTTTAAAAGGGGTCATTTTAAATTGAAAAAGGTATTAATTACAATTTTTTTATAATACTTGATATGCTTTTTGGACTGCAAAACAAACAGCCAACATAACCCCACTTATTTGACGCGCAAGCGCGTTGTGGACCTTGAAAAGGTCTATTGAGGAAAGGACCCCGCACACTTCTTATGGGATTTTGGTTGAACGCGGAATTCAACCAAATTTTGGTATGTTGTATATTTCGACCTCCTGAATAAAAGTTCTCATGGGTACAAACCGATCCTATGAGTAGTTTCGGTGTTTCGGATATACGGGGGTTTTTCTAATACTACCTCAGGCAACCCGAAAATACTGAATTTTCATGCTTTTTGCGTTTATTTGAGATAGGTAGCTTTAAAAAATGTTGATTAAGTTTAGACCTTTCACAGAAAAGTGCATGTTTTCAGTTAGGTGACTATATATGTGAATGTACGAGGGTATTTTGAAAAGTACTTGTTTGGTGGGCCTTTGTGTGTTTTTAAAACAAACACAAATAGAAGTATGACAAACTATATACTGTATTTTTTCCAAGATAGATTTTGATTTGACACTGTCAATTTTGAAACATAAACAATGCGGCTTATTGGTCGCAAGATGCCATTTGCACCTCATGCATTGTAAAGTGATTATAACCCGCAGGGAAACCTCATTTTCCGACCAATCGTTATTGTTTATGTCTCAATATCAAAATCCACCTTGAGTTTTCAACAATAGGGTTTTCATCCTCAAATCCTAACTCGTTTCGACGCTTTACAGCCAATCTATGGACTTCGGCATCTTTCAGTAATAAAACAGTGGGATTTAGTCTTACTCTATCCTCCATCGCACACGTAGCACATTACCTTTCCCGAACTGCCATTTTCACAAGAAAGGTGACAAAAAAGACAATTCGCTTTATTGGAAGGGTCACTGTTTTGGTTACCATGGTTACCAAGTGAAATATGACACATGAAAAAACAATTTTCATTGCTTTTCTTTCCATGGCTGTTTAGATTTTTCAAACAAATCACCAAGTGTATGTATACCTTATATCTAAACACCTAAACCCTAGGGATCATGAGGCAAAAAGTTTTTAGCACAAGCGTAGCAAGAACTGGAATTCATTGAGATAGAAAATCACTTTTATCACAAAACGTAAGTATCTGAGTACCTACAAGTACACAATTTTTCACACTTTTGAACATTTTTGGTCATTAACTCATTTAGCTTAGTAATAGCCATAGTTTTTGAGCGTCCCTGGTATATGAAGGAAGAGTTACGAACACCTACTAAACATTTTTAGTTAAGGAAAGATGAAATAAACAACTTTTAAAGCAATACATGCAAGTTTTTTTGCTTTATGTACACTTTATATAGGTACTTAGGTTGCCTAAGGAGGTAGTATAAGAAAACCCCCTGTATATCCGAAACTAGTCATAGGATCGGTTTGTACCCATGAGAACTTTTACTCAGGAGGTCGAAATATACAACATACCAAAATTTGGTTAAATTCCGCGTTCAACCAAAATCGCATAAGAAGTGTGCGGGGTCCTTTCCGTTCGCCTTTTTGAAAAAAAATGCGAGACTGGGAGTATTGAGAATCGCATAGCTTGGCTAATCGGGTCAGATCTCTTAAAATGAGCTTCCTTACAACTATGCCAAATTTCATGCTTGTAACCCAATTTGGCGTTTTTTTGTGTGCAGGCTCTCCACTATGAGGTAATTTTTTTGTTACTTAACAGGTGAGGTGGGGTTTGCTAAACCCCAAATCAAAAAGGCGATTCTGCTAATTCAAAATAAAAAAACGTGTACGTTATTCACTTTTGGGTAACATTTGTCCTTTTGGAACGCGTAGGTAGGTACATACTTTCAACAAAAAGAATAAAAATATTTTAGGAATAATTCAATTTTACTGTGGGACTGCAAAAAACACACATCTAAACTTATTTCCAATTGCTGGAAGTAATCAAGTTGAAAATGTAGCATGAAAAATACAAAATGGCGGAAAAGTGTCTAAAAAAACTTTGAAAAATATTCAAGGAACAAAGCTTTAACAAAATTGTATTTCAAGTAAACTTTTTAGAGAGCAATTAACCGAAACTAACCCAAACGACTCACAGTGAGGTGGGGTTACGCAAACCCCAATTTTTACAAAAATCGTAATATCGCACACCGAGTGAAATATCGCGCGTTGTTGACACCGTTAGGGTACTGACGGACAACGGACCGAAATCTACACAGGCGGTAGCAAGCCTCCAACCATTAGTTAATAAATGGTAAAGATTCTTAAAATCTCTGGGGTTTGAGAAACCCCAGCTCACCAGTTACGGGTTAAGATGCGATTCAACAAGAGCCTAAGTTTCCAGGTACCTAATTATTATAATGGTTACCTCTGGATCGGGCGACATATTCCAAACTGTGGCCAACTTGTGCCATTCAACATGTCGGTTCAAATCAAATTTACTGAAAACCACTGCAGCTTTTTTGATCACCAAGTAACTCTTAGTTTCAAATGCTTCATATAAATCTGTAATGACATTGTTTTCCAATTCTTTGATAACATCTTCGGTGATTTCATTTAGGCTTGGAAAATTATCGTTGACGTAAGCCAAAAAGCTTACTAACGGTTCCCAAGTAACTGGATCGGTAGAGTTATCAAATAAATCTGTGAAGATTGCGAGAATGTCGGCGATAATCTGCAATGGAATAATCAAATAATGTTAAGAATCATAAAAATAATCAAAAAATCTTTAAAATTGTATGAACCAAACCAAACGCGGGTATTATAGGCCCTGGATGTTGTTGCTACGTGGCTAGTTACAATGTAGATTATATCTTGTTGACAAGCAAATTGTTGGAAAGGGTAGACACAATACATCTAAATTACTGTACCAACAAATTCATCTGAATAAAGTTATTGGATTGATAGAAATTAAAACAATAAGAGATTACAATAGACTAACCGATATTTAGTAAGTATTTCCAAAAAGCGTTCTATTCAAATTTTATTTAAATCATCATTAAATTAAAATAAGTCAACTCTATACAGTGTGATTTTTTAAGTGTTTAAGAAAAGTTGTTTGGAATTAAAAGTTACCTTTGCCTAAATACCAAAACATAGCCTCCTAGGATTTTTTTTATTTTCTTTCGAAAAAAATCTATAATTTCTATATTTTTTTTATTTTGTATTTCCGCCCTTAATACTTTCAAAAATTATTTAAAATCAAATCAATTTTACATAACTTTGTTCAAATTCAAGCATATTTGTAAAATTAACTTAGATTTTTAATTTTTTCTGGAATCACAAAATTCATGTTTGTTGCAATGATATTCAACACAACTTTAAAATGTCGCCCTTTTTTTTTAACAAGTTAAAACATCACTAATGATAATAGCCATATTAAAAAAACTCTCCTTAAAGTGCAAAAGTTTTATTTTATTTAAGTAAATATTAGTAGAATTTTGATATTTATTGAGCCACCCTGTATGCTGTTTGACTTGCAACCATTCTGAGTGCACCTAATATGATTATCAGACATGCACCAACTTTTGGCCTTGTTTGTATTTTGATTGTGCTATTACTAAAAAAAAATCCCATATGTTGCACACTTAAGTAATGACACTGTATACAGTATGAATTTTAATTTATGAAAAGATTGTTGATTATATTATATTTACCTGCCGACTTGTTTTACCAACATAATCAGGCCTAATTATTGACAAAGCCTTGAGAACATTACTTATTATTTCTCCAGATTTTTTAAAATAAATCTTCACTATAGTTTTAACATGCTGATAAATTTCTTGAGCTAGGTTTTCTTCATTATTCAAATGTACCATTTCTGCAAAAGTGAATATCAAATTAATAACTTCCAATAGTGAAATACCTAAAAAATATTTACCTTTAGGAAAAGAAAAAGACCTTTGTTTTGTCGATTTTCCAGTTATCGTCAAGTGAAGGGATTCCAAGAATAATTCACTCAAAACAACTCTCAATTCAATCGGAAAATCTTCAAAATGTTCGTACATTGTCAATATTTTCATGATTAAAGGCCAATTACGCAAAATACTCGTGTGTTCAGCGACTGCTTCGACCATTAGGGGTTTTAAATTTGGATGCTATAAATTTAAAAACGGGTATCAGAAATAGATTCTATACAACCTTTTTTTCCCCGAAGGGTTGAAAAGCGATTTATTTTAGGTCTTGCCTAGGCTTGACCCTAATGAGATCACCATTGAGATCATCCTACCCTCCTCACCCTCCTAGCTGTGACCTTATTCCTTTGTTTTCAGTTTCCAAGTCGTCCAAATCCAATCGCGCTGCGAGCCAATGCCTCTCATCTCCCCCTCTCCTTCACTCTTCCTCGCGCAGTTCGCGTCAGTACCTTCTCATTTAATATTTACTTTTACTTAACTGGGGTCAAGCCTAGGTAAGACCTAAAATAAGCTTTTTCAGCCCTTCGGGGGAAAAACGTTGTATATTTTAGGGTTTGTGCCGTCGGCTTGACACTAATGAGTTTGGTTTCTGACAACCTATTGAAAGCGTACTGTGAAGGGAAGGAAAAAAAAAACTTCAACTGGGTACCCACAAAACACTAACGAAAATATTTATTCATAGTAGACAAAATTCGGAAATGGTAGGGGCGTAAACTGAACTGTAAACCCTACCCTCGGTAAATGGATGGGGAGCAGTGGCATGTAGGTACAATATAATAATTTATTTGTAATGTCAATATCGTCATACCAATTAGCGACGCCCGACGCCCCTGATATTGGAATAGGTTTGTATTTTAGCTTTGCCTGGACCTGGGCCAAGAAATTTTGATCCCCTTACAAGCTTGCCACATTTGAGAATGGAATTCAGGGGCATACTTTTCTCCAATCTCACTACTCACTGATGCCACTCCACTGCCGCTCTAAGTTCTAACGCTACCAGGAGAAAATTATATTCCTGCGCTGTCAGAGCTCTTTTTACCCAGCCCGCAACTACTGATTGCGAAGCAACTCCCAGACGACCCCTTGTAGTGAAAAAAAGGTTTAGAAGACCTTCCCTAGACTTTCTTCGCCCCGCACTCGCCCACAACAAAATCTTTACCCAAAAAACTGGATCGAGAGCCTTTTCTTTATTTGACAACTTCCATTCTAGCGAGATTTCCTGTAGTTGACTTTGTCTGTCTTGGATCCAAACTTTGGCCAAACCCAAATTTTGACATATCCCTGGAGGAAAATAAAACAATTTTAACTATATCAGTTTCTTCGGAAAACTTTATTTCCTCATTATTATCTCGTTTTTCATCCCTCCCAAAAATTCAAAGAATTTGTGCGTATATTTTCCGGTTTGTGAAAAATGTGAAACAAAAGTGACAGGTCTTTAAACCCTGTAGAAATTGATCAGGCCCTCACTAAGATCATCAACTATGTTCAGTTACAATCCTTTGCGGATGTCTTTTCAAAGATTAATCAAAATATCTTACTTCCCAAACCAGTTCGCAAATTAGCTCCATTCATCGATCATGAAGGTCTTCTTCGAGTTGGTGGAAGGCTCAGAAAGTCAAAATTGGACTACGACGTTAAGCATCCCGTTCTTTTGCCCAAATCGCATTCTTTAACTGACTTAATTATTGGGTTCACACATTCATCAAATCTTCATCCAGGATTAAAAACTCTTATTTGCCACTAAAAAAATACTGGATCATATCTCCCCGAAGTGCTATTTATAAATGTCTTTCACAATGCCTCCGTTGCTTTAAATGTAAACCTAAGTCGTACAATCTTTATATGGCGGACATGCCAGCCCTCCGTTGCTCTCAAGTCAAGGCATTCTCTCCAGTTTGTGTAGATTTTGCTGGACCCTTGCCTCTCCTCTCTCTGCTAAGTAGGCACCGACGTACAAAAACATTTAAAGGCTAGGTTTGTGTATTTGTTTGTACTGCCACAAAGGCTATTCATTTAGAATTGACCTCAGATCGAACTTCTGATTATTTTGTAGCAGCTTTTAGACGTTTTACTTCCTGACGAGAAAATTGCGTCACTATAACCAGTGATCAAGGTACCTACCAATTTTAAGGGCGCTTATCGACAACTTCTTGAATTGGCACAATCCGCCGCTGACAATTTGTCTCTTTCTTGGAACTTCAATCCACCCGGCTCTCCTCATTTCAATGGACTAGCCGAGGCTGGAGTAAAATCATTCAAAAGTCATTTTTATCGTGTCTTGGGTTCTCAGATTTTATCCTATGAGGAATGTTACATCTTTTTAACCCAGGTGGGAGCTTTATTAAACTCACGACCCTTGTGCAGTATCAGTGCAGATCCGAATGATCTACAATTTCTTACTCCGGGGGATTTTTTAATCTTTGAACCTTTAGTAAGCCCAGCCGCTAACCCAGATTTAAGTCACTTGAAATTAAGTAGATTGAGTCGTTGGCAACTCATCCAGCGACTCCAGAGCGATTTTTGGAAACGTTGGCCGCAAGAATATATACATTATTTGCAAGAAAGACATAATATAAGTGGTTGGATCAGTCTCCCCCTATCAAGCTAGGAGCCCTTGTTCTAATAAAAAAATACGCACACTCTCGCTACGCGACCCGTACAAATTCGTGTCGTATCGGACGTTTCGGTCAATACAACGAAACTGCCCCTATTTTACTGCCCTAAGAAGTTACAGAGTACTCTGCTAAGTCAACACGCTTCAGTTTGGACCAGTACCCAGAAAACCAACAGAAACCTTTTCAAAGGTAAGTGATTTGTGCCTACCGGGTTCAAACATTTATTTCCTTTCTTTTCAAATCATACAGTCCACTAAACAATTTTCATATTTTCCGCAACAAACATATAGAATCCTTATTTGCAGACATATGCTCGTGATCTTTACAGAGAAGGGTTAGATAATGAATACGACGGCCCGACGATAAAAGTAAGATTAACGCCAATCTGCACGAAACTTGAAAGATGCTAGACTCATCGATATTTTCCTGTCTCATCCAGGTAAGCAACGAATCAACAGACCAGAAAAATCTGTTTTGCTGAACCGGCTTGGGAATATCAGTTGCCTTGATTATATGTTTTACCAGGGGGCTAGATGTTAATATATTAGCAGAGGAAAGATTAGCCAGTGTAATAACAACTGATTTATGAACCTTAATAGTAGGGGGACAATTTTTTGATCCTATGAAGACATGATAAGAATTGAGCAAGCGCTTCTGGACTAGGGTCCCAAGGTTTTTTATTATTAGTCTTTAGTCTTTAGGGTAGATCCCCTCCCAATAAACTTATATCTTCTTTACTCCAGTCTCTCGTGACATTGGACCACCCCATATTTTCCAGGCCTCCAAAATAATAGTTCGAGATCGTGGATCGTGGTAGGGGGTTGCCTGACCTGAGCATCCAACAGGTGGTGCTGCAGGTTCCGTATCGTATGTGATATGATGGAGCTACCGCCCGACCTCCAAAACACACTGTCCCATTTGGAAACTATCATAATATATCTCCCCTGACCAGAATTAAGGTGGCTCAAGACTCGCGAAATGAGGGACGGAGGAGGAGAAACCCAAGCCAGAGTGAAATTCCAAGTCTTGCTGAACGCATCCACGAAAAACGCCCGACGATCTTTGACGTCCCTCGAGGCGCTGGAAGCGAACAAGTCGATCTCGGGTTTTTTTCATTTTTTGAATATTTTTTGAGCCGCACTTTTAGGATGTGCCAATCCGCTAGCCTTCTTTTTCTGGAAAGACTGGCCGCCACATCGTTCAAAGCACCTGGTAAATAGTGCACTATTATTTTCATTTCTCTTTTTCCTGGGCGAAATTCAAAAGATTTTTCACCAACTGCGCCTTAATTGCCGATCTCGTTCCTCCCTCATTGCGTATGTAAAAAACTACCATACGATTGTCCGACTGAACTAAAATCGTCCTTCTTTCCAGGAATTGCGAACAAATTTTCAGAGCGGCAAAAACGGCAAATAGCTCTTTTACATTCACATGCCATTTCTTTTGGCGGGCATTCCAAGAACCTCTTATCAGCTGATTTACTACATGGGCACCCCAACCTGTTCCTGAGGCATCTGACGTTAGAAAAACTTCGGGTTGCTTCGGTAGAAGGGGAGAGTCGTTCTGAAGATTTTCCAACCACCATTGAAGTTCTTCTAGTGCTGCTATTAGAATTGAAAACTTCTTTTTCGGCTTGCTTTCTGGGAGAAGATTGCAGCTCCTCTGTAGGGCTCTCGTATGTAGCCTGCCCAATGGAAAAGCGAATCCCGCAAAGATCATTCTTCCAAATATTCTTTTCGCGGTGATCCAATTCCAATGCCGACAGCGAATTAGATCTATGAGAACTTTTCTCAAAATCTTTATCTTCTTTTTCGGCAAAGATACTTTGTTCCTTACAGTGTCCCAGTTTAGGCCTAGAAACTCGCATAATGTTTTTGGTTTTAAAATTGACTTTTTGAGATTCACAATCCAATCTAAATTTTGTAGGAACGAAACTGCTATTAACACGTGAAGAATCAGAGTCTGCTGGTCCTGGGAAGCCAGAAGAAAATCGTCCAAATACACAATTATCCGGAGACCTTGGTTGTAAATACAACTTATTGCAGCAGTTGATAAGCCGAACGATTAAAAGAATTAGCACCTAAACGCTGGCACTCAAAGTCAAGGACCTCAATGTTCGATTTTGGTGCAACAATGATACAAATCACTGAATCTCGAACGGCAACGCCGTTAAAGTCACACGTAATCAAGCAGAAGTTGATAGCTTACTGACAATTCAGACAAAATTTCAGACCGACGCGCGCTGCGCGAGGAAGAGTGAAGAAGAGGGAGAGATGAGAGGCAGTGGCGCGCAGCGCGATCGGACTAGGACGACTTGGAAACTGAAAACAAAGGAATAAGGTCACAGGTAGGGGGTGCGGGAACAGAAGGGTGATCTCGGGTCAAGTCGACGGCACAGACCCTAAAATAAAGTTTTTTTTTTTTTTTTTTAAGATAATTCCCCAAGTCAAAAATTTAGTAATCATGTTGGCAACACAAGCCTTTTCTACATAAAAAATTTGAAAGCATTGACAATTTTACATTGTATTGCCAACATAATGTCATTTTGACTTTTATCTTTAAAAAAAA